TGACATACCCTATATTGTGTTATATTTCCTTTGTAGATGACAGGTTCAGTCCAAGACAATGTTATTGTATTAGCTGTCACTGTCAGTATTTCAATACTTGCAGGTGGATCGGGAACTGTCAAAAAAGGGTAACGTTCCTTGTAAACTTTGTATTTCATTTGAGACACAGCAATATACTAAATATTATACTTTCAGCTTGCACATTGTGCTGAATAATTACACACATGATACGGGTAATATTGATATTGATGTCAATATCATCCACACAAAAGAAGCAAACACAACTCTGGTTTAGTAACTAAACAGAATTATCAGTGACACAAGTGAACTTCCGGCTGGTGTATATATGAATAAGACATACCTGTCTCCTGTGTGTGAACGCTCATCTCAGAACTTGGGATGCCATACCCCACACTTGTGGAAGCAGTTATCTAGTAGTGAAACAATTTAAAATTTCTCTCATTGAAAATTAGCCAACATAAATTAAAAGCAACCTCACCAGTCAGTCACAAAATAATAATAGTTGTACATATCGAGAGAATAGAACTAACATATATGTATACAATGTGTCTAATCGAATGTCATTTTCTTTGTAAAATAAAATTTTATTATGTGTGAGTGAATTCGGAATATATGTACAATTAACACAATCCGTACTTGTATAGAGTATACAACATCATATTCCAAGTCTGTGATCTGGTACGTCATGACATCTTTTAGATCATTCGTAATTTCCAGTGTATCAATTCTATTCTGATCATCAGTAACCCAGTACACTATCTTGTAGCTCGTTATTCTACCATTTGTAGGTTCAGGTATCAACCATTGTGCAGTGATTGAGAACACAGCTGGAGCTAAAGTGACATTCCTTGGTTGAGATGGAACTGAAACAAATAACGTAACAGCTACAATGAAAAACAAATACAGTTGTAAAATGAATTTTAGTTTATGCAACATGCATGTGCAAGCAGTAATTTCTGTTAGTTTTATTGATACAAGAAAAAATCTCACCACTCTCGGCCATTCTTACAATTGCTATGCCACTAGGATCACTCTCTTCATCGCGGTTCGAAAGTAAAACTATGATGTCATATTCTGTATAAGGTAGCAAAGTGTTATCAACAATTTCAAAATCACGAATTCCAATTGATTGACCCGTAATATAAATGATTTTGGTTTGGTAGTCATCCTCACTGCTTGTCTTCCTAAATTTCACTTTTATTAATTCAATATATCCATTCGTACCATCGTAATTGCATTTAATATCTCTGATTGCAGGAAACTGTGGATTAGAAATATATAATAATTGAAAAGATGACTTTTTTTAGAATAAATAGAAAATACATAAATAGGAGAACATTTCATTTTGTATTGTATATTTAACTTATTGTATATTAAATTATTTCATATCATAATTAACATACCTGTATTTCAATAGTTATAATTGTCAATACAGTTGATGCAATATTGTTTATGGTTGGATGTTTCGGTTCTGTGAAAAAATTAAGTGTACGATGAATAATTTACTTATTATTGTTCATTTTTGCGTTTAACACAAAACAAAAAAACAATAGATATGCAACTTCAATGGTATTTTCACACTATAAAAGATATTGAATTATATTTTATTTAGTGGTAGGTTTTTTCGATTTTGCTTGTTTCATGTTGCTAGTAGTATTGTTACAAAGAAAACGACAATTATTACTACTTGAAACATTAATTTACAATAGACAATTTCTTTGTACAATCAAAATAATTACTAACTTGCACACATCGTAGTTGTCGTAATAGCTGTGTTTTTACTTCCTTCACCCAGTGGACCAGGTCTTTTAACTGTCACTGTAATTTCATATTCAGTAGACCACTGTAAGCCTGTGATGGTTGAACTATAACTCATATGACTTGTATTGGTGACTGATATAACTTGTCGTGATGTCCAGACACTCTCGCCACTCTCTCTGTAATATACATGATACGATTCTATTGGTCCATCTCCAATATCTTCTTCATTGTTCCATGCTTTCCATGCGACTGTAAACTGGTCAGAATGAATAGTGTCCTCGGAAACACTTGGTTTGTTACTTTCGGAAAATCGTGGAAGATCTAATGAGAATAGAATGGTACAGATGAATTACACAAATAAAATGTTGCGCCAATAATGCGATTCGTGATCGTTCATGTGTTCCTTGAGAAATAATTTCATCTATTCAAGTGGAACAGTATGTATTGGTGATAGAAACAAGCCTAGGAAGACATCGCATATACACATCATGAAATTATCCGTAGAGTTTGGAAAATAGAATGCCATCAAGTCTAGAAGCCGAGGTTTGACTGGCTATTAGGTTTAATATCAACAGTAAATATAGAGTTGAGTAATGTTGCTTTTATAACGCGGGTCTCAAATGATTGACTGAAAGCAATGAAACTGAGTAAGTGAAAGTTGAAACAAAGCAGCGTACAGTTATCAAGTGTACGAATGGAATAAATGCATGACCGCCTGAATGAATTCACGGAATAACAAAATGTGTCAAAAAAAGTGCGCACATGCAATACTTCTATCTAGAAACGTATAATGTGTACCAGATAAACGGCATTGGGATTAATGGGAATGTATACCTTTTTAGAAGCAAATTATCGTTTTTGTAAACTAACCTTGTGTTATCAAACCACGAAGGACTTTTCATAGTGAAGTAGTTTTCTAAAATATTAAAAACGACTTGTTATATGAAATGTTTACCCACTCGTTAATTATTTTTAATCTAATAATTAACAAACATGCTTTATTTTATAGTATTACAGTATTGGAATATTTTAAGGTTAATATTTCAAATTTGCATTTCACGAGCCATTTATATGTTTTAGTTCATAGCCGTTTTGTAGATTACATTTTTGATGACATTTTTCAAATAGTTTTAAATTCGTTTGCGCACTATAGTACAATTGTGTTCTGATAGTATTTTTTGTTTAATACAAATTAGAACTTACCATATAAGTCAACCGTTATTGATGATAAAAGTCCAGTGTTTGGATAACCCACAGTAAAATGTATTCATTTTATGGATAACGATACCACTGAAATTTCCAATTGCAATGTATTTGTTTTCTGCTATATAATTGGTAGGAGAAAGATAATTGGTTGTTTCGGATTTCCATAACATCATGTCATCCGATGCTACTACTGGATTTCCACTGAATTCACAGATAAAATAAGTATCCTCGCCAGGATTCACTTTATAGTTATAGAAGTTTCTTATATGTGGACTACCGTCTACAAAGGGAACAATTACATTTTTAAAAGGGTGATTATTTAACATGCATAAAATAAATTTAAGTTGTTGTGACTTGTTGTATGTTGTGTATGTGAAAGTAAGTAATGAATCTTATGGGATGAATAATATTATAATGGCAATATGTGCAATATGGGCACAATAACGTAAACAATGAATGTAATATACATTATTTACACGGAATTCTATCTCGTACGGAAACATTATATGCAATAGTTGGTTTGGTGCTTCGTCATGCATTTTCTTTCATATGAAAATATAAAAAAATCTTTCCGACACATCCAGATCCAACATACATGTGGATGCAATCCAGGCGTTCAATTAATCTCTTTAAAGTTTCTAATCCGGTGCTAAGCCCCAAATTTGTGTTTATTTGCACTACCCTGCCAGAAAATGTGTAGTCAGGTGTGATATTTGCCATTCCAAAATTGAGTGCGTTTGATGATTTTAATGTCAAACAAACTATGTGATTCACATAAAACTAATCTACCAATTCAAACTATTTATATTGGCGACATCTGCAAAGGCGATAATCGGGCCTCCGCCACATTATTATAAACAATAATTTGACCAGGAACATATTGTTATTAGCAGACTAGGATATTAAGCATAATTTTATTTCTTTGATAGACAAGCATTACCTATACTAGTATAATATGACATAGAATTCATAATCGAGAGTACTAATATTTCGAATCATGATTCAAATTTGTAAATATCAGATTTGAATATGTGTAATATTTTGTTATAAAAGCATGCATACTGAAAGACTTTAGGTTATGCAAGTGAAAGTCGCACTTAATATGCAAAATTCAACAAGATCCACGAATAAAATTCCCATGACAATGATTATGTTTTCGTTTTCTCGTTAAGTGTTTTATAAACACGATGAATTGAGATACAACCCTTGTTGACACTCATAATCTGTAGTTTCTAGATTTATTCATCCTGGTGCACAATCTCCATTTGGACAAACACCAGTGTTCTTATCACATGCTGCATTGTTTTCACAATGACAATTATACTTACATAATTCACCATAGATACCAGTGATTTGAAATACAAACCTTGTTGACAATCAGAATCTATAGTATCTAGATTTATCCATCCTGGTGCACAATCTCCATTTGGACAAACACCAGTGTTCTTATCACATGCTGCATTGTTTTTACAATGACAATTATAGTTACACAATTCACCATAGAAACCAGAAATACAAGATGATGGAACTGGAATAGAAAATACAATTCTTCGACACGGGTCGGTAATTCTAATATTATCTGGACGGTTTATATATTCTTTAGTTAGTGGACGCGAATTTATATCAGAGTACATTTGGAACTATACAGAATACTTGGCTTACTCAAGTCTATATAAGTGTGCATAAATTACATGATATTTGAATTGGTGTATTTTGTGGCGGTTAATTTGGCTGGTAGTGCGCCCCTGCTTACATTTACATGGCACTTTACTGTGTTCGTGTGTTCGTAAATGTGTCGTTTCTGTGTTATTGTTGCTGTCATTTATATTGACATTCACACAGATATGTCAATAATCAAAGTAGTAAAGTAAGGCCTAGCAGCAGCACAATATGCAATATTGTGTCTAAACTTTATTGCAATTAATATATGTGCATGTATGACCTGAAACACACTAGGTTTTTATATAGAGTCATTAAACAATTGTTAGGCATAAATGTGGTACTATACCCTTGCACTTATTACCACTCCATCCAGTGTCACAATCACCGGCACTGCTAGTACAATCCCCTTTTCTATTACATCCATTAGTACAATGACATGTCTGTGTACATCCAGCTCCATATTTTCCTAGATGGACAATCTTGTCAAAGATAAATTAAAAGAGTTTCAACATCTTCTATACTTTCTATCATGTATATGATGTAACGTAAACATCCACATAGATGAAAAACACACAACATTCATATAGATCGGAAACACTTATCATTACATTTTGACAACAATCAGTAACACTAGATGATTTTATTTAAATCCTGGATAAGATACAATGCATATGGATCGGAAACATTTAGCATAACACTGTGACAATCACCAGTACTTCTACAAGACTTTATATTCAACTTACCTTTATTACAAATCATATAATGCAAAGCATGAACATCCATATGGATCAGAAACACACATCATAAAACTATGACAACCATCAGTACTGCTTGGTGTATTTATTCAACTTACCTGTATTGCAATCTAATCCTGTATATGATGCAAGACATGAACATCCATATGGATCAGAAACACACATCATTTTTCCACGACAAGAATCAGTGCTACTGAGTGAACAAACTCTACCACAATCTTTTCCCCATTGCCCCCTCGAATCACAACCTGCAATGCATAGTAGTGAAACATGCACTTTATTATTATTAAAATAATATTGTTGATCTGTGATTGTAGCTGCATTGCCTAAGGATCATAATTGTGTGTGATAATTTCTCTCCGTTGCAACCAATTTGATTATTAAATTTTAGTTGTAACATTAAGTAGCAAGAAAATACAGTGCATTAAAAATGTAACTGTGACCTCGACATTCTCTGACTAAGCAAGATACTATAACAGCCTGTACATCACCAGAAAGCTTAAATATAGCCACACAGATAATTGTTCATAGGAGTACCTGACAGCCAGTATCGATGTAAATCTTTTATACAATTTCCGACTATTGAAAACTCATTTTTTGATTATTTAATGTTAATTTTAATATTAGCAATATGGGTAAAATTCAGAATGTTGTCAAAAGTTAAACTAGCTACTATAGCAACTTATATATCATCTGAAAGCTTAGACACAGTTGAATACGTTATTGCGTGGGCCTAGATCTATTTGTACTATTATTACTATTTAACATTTTTCTTCACTAGATATTGGTACCGTAAAAAGCTGGACGACTGCGTCTCGGTTTTCTTTTATTTGCTTTAGTTTCCTAGCTGCGATAAAATAATGACTGACATGTTTTCGAAAATAGGTCTGTGACTATTTTGACGTAGCTAAAAAAAAGTTGATAAAAAATTATCCTATTATCATATTACTAATTCAAGCAACAAGTAATTCGTTCGACTTATATCTTTGCCTAACTCAAGAAATGGATAACACTGCTGTTTAACAAATCAATTATGTTAAATTCACCTGCGAATTCCGGGCATTTCATATCGCACGAGAACATATATTTTTACTTAGCTGACATTGCACTGCCCTAATTTTATCTTAATAAAAATGAAATATTTACTAAAGCAATCCTAACCAATTTGCTAAAAGTTATGTAGGGGTAAAAACACTAGAAATTGACAGGTTATTGTTAAAGCGCGGTGGTCGTCGCGCAGCGCGTGTTCGAATTTCATGTAAATAAACAACGTATTATACACGCGTTGTATACGTCGCTATGAGTCCCATATCAAACAGGACGCGGCACGACGACTGTCACCCTTTAAGTGTGTGTAATCGAAATGAACAGTGTGAAATGTGAGCTAACCATAAAAACTATTTACACGCTTTTTTACCTGTATTACATTGACTTCCTGTAAATCCTGGTGGACATATACATTTTCCAGTGTCTGAATTACATATACCTCCATTATAACATTTAGGACAGTTAAGTAAACATGTATCACCGTATTTACCATTAGGACAACCTGTAATAATCAATTAAAAACAAATACAATAAGTAACATAGTGGTGTTTCTTGCACATATCACTCGAAGTCATATCATTAACACAACATGTCATTGATTACTTACGTCTAACAATAAGTCTCATGAAACTATTTTTTCCATCTTGTCGTTGTTGTTGTGTAGTATAACATTCATAAATTCCAGCATCTGATGGTTTAGCTGATGTAATAGTAATACTACTGTGTCCATCCCATAATACTCTATCATCACCATTATGTTTCCATTTCAATTGTGATTCTGATATTGCCGTTGACTGTATGGTCATGGTCAGTGTTAAATCATCGCCCCAACTTACTGTCTTGGTTTGACTCTCTGGGTATATTTTCAGCTGCAATAAAACACAAGTTGTAGGATCTAGTTAGTTCAAAAATTGTTGTATGTGTGGCAATGCATGTACAATGCTCCTTAGTTTTTAAAAGTACTATCTATAGAATATGGCATAAAAGTGTGGCGTTTGGGAAATCAATTGCTGTGGCGGTTTACTAATCTGTATATGGTACGAATAAATGGAAACATCGGGGTTCTATGAACATAATTATATATATATATAACATCCTTTTTCAAAAATATTCATTTTCATAACTGTGTTATGTAGTAATGCAGGTCAACCCAATGTTCTTTGCTTTGAATATTGCAAAAACACAAATTGCAGCTAATATTGGCACACAAGCTTGGTAACTGATATTAAACAAACTCAAAAATCACTAAAAAATAAAAACAATTAAACATTTAGAACACAAATCCGTCTAATAATGATGAGAAGAATAGACACATTTAGAGAAAATGTCTCTATAATAATCATATAAGCAATATTATGATAAATGAACTAAACTATAAATACAGAAACAAAACATAGATAAAGAAAACTATTTTGAAATAATTTGAAATCTCAAGTACCAAATTAAGAGTGAGTGCATATATTGTGTTTACTTCAATAGTTTACCATCAGACACATTATATCTGAATATTTTATTTTGAATCTATATTAATGATTTTCAAATTCGTCATATTATTTAGATTTGCTGATGATTGCAAACAACAAAAACAGTGTTAATCTAGATGAAGCCTCCCTTCATTTAAAGAGGATTCTTTGAGTGCTACTGACATGTTTCTTTCAATGTTATTTTCTAATGTATATTATTTAATTTTCTTATACCTCTTCAAACGGAGTAAAGAACAAATTACATCTTCTTTAGTGGTAAACAGAAAAAAACTCAATGTGATGGGTTCTATAACCATCCAAGAAGATGAAGTGAATGCAGGTCATTTTTTCTGTAGTCATTCTTGACAATCATCTTGGCTAGAGGAGTCGCATTGTAAAAAAAAATAAACCAGATAACACTCAAAGGAGTTGCCACACACACACACATCTGTTTCTGCTGTGCTGGTTTGATCTACTCTCCTAGTGATGGTATTTCTAAAATTTGTATTGATAAATCTGATTATTTCAGTATATACACCTGGTCTACTTGCACCTGTAGTTAACTGG